TAAAATTTTGGCAAATGAACATATAAATATAATGAAGTTAACAGATAAAAAGTTGTAAGTAAAATGTTTTGGTTTCTTAACATTTTCAATTCAGTAAAAGTTATATGGTTCTTCAACAAAACAAGCAAGTGTAATTCTTTTCAATTTGTAAACTAACGAACAGATTTTTTTTTATTATATTTAGCATAAACAATAGACCTCATACCACAAAATCAAGTCTTAAATACCAGAAGTTCAGGAAAATTTTATCAAATTGTTAAAATAAAAATTTTTTCATATATTTTTCATAATCACGAAAAAAACAATTTTTTTTCTTCTTTCCTTTTCATTCACAAATTTTATTTTTATATCACAAATATACAATTTTTGATAATCACACATAGATACCAAGATATAATATCTTTGATAGAAGTTCTATACAATATTATGTTGGGGTATGAAATATGTACGAATACAATGTTATACAAAAATCTGCTTTTTTTTTATGTAAACTCGAATAGGTAACAATTCTTTTATATTATACAATTTTATATTATAACCTGTATAAATGTATAAGAGCACCTACATTTACACATAATTTACAAAGCAAAAATAAAAAGAACAAAAACTTTTTGTTGCTTTTTTATATTATCCCATTCCATTCATAATTTTTTCAAAGAATTTCAGCATTTTTTTTTCTTCTAGTATGTTCCCTACCATTAAATACAAGAATAAAAAACTGAAAAATATGGAGCAACAAAAATTTGCCTCCTACTACATTTTCTGATATACAAACACACATCATACAATGAGTTCTTCTATACTTGTACAAAATCGAAATAAATAGCGGCACATACAAAAAAATTTATATGCCAATGCAAATGTAAACATTTCTCATACCCCCCCGTTTTTTTGGGAAATTGTTTTTGTTACCCATATATTATATGACACTTAATTTTATTCAATATGTAATTTGTACATGCTTTACTCGTTGCTCCTATATGATTATTTGAGAATAAAAATTTTCTCTACGTTTTATTTTAAATTATCTACACTGATTGAGCGAAATTTTTTATTAAATGTTCATATTACATTTTCATTCTCTATATATTTTTCTATGTATTTGTGTTTTTTATAATATTAGTATAATGTGTTATTCTATTTTATTATATTATATTATTATATTGTTATCTCTCCTATCTGTACTCTATATAATTTTATGTGACCTTATCGTGTATATCGAAACCGGTATCATATATGGCAACTAGGTATACGATATACATTTATATGTATATATTTTTTATATTACCTTTATAATTTCAATATACATACCTATGCATATTTCTCTTTATACAAGTATATTGATTGTTATATTTTATAAATTATAATTTTAATTTCGAATGTGAGGGAATTAATACAATTGGAAATATTATTATACGTACATTTTAATCTGTTATATTGTATGAATTTTATTACTGTATAGAAATTCATTTTCGTTCTTCTCTTGTTTTAAATGATATACAAACGTATTTTTGTATTATTCTACTTAATTTTATTATAATTATAATAATGTGAACATATTTTTTTTCCGATTTTTGCGCTCATAAAATAACCATTAATATAAGAGAAATAAAATTTGCGTTTTAAATAATACTGATTGCCTGGGAAAATTTACGTTTAAAGAAAGTCTTAACTAACGGATTTTTAAATATAAATTTCCTACATTTAAATAAAAAAAAAATGAAAGTCTCTTTGCTTCAAAAAGTTTTTGAAAAAAAAAAACGATAAGATGTTTTTACTAATAATAATAATTTTTTTCTATATTTTACTCCGAAATGAGATTAAAATGAAAACAAACAGACGATACAGTCTGCCAGACAAATTTTATTTAAATATGTACACAAAAATGAGAATACATTTGAGTCAAATATAATAGCGATTTTAAATAAAAATTGTTATAAGTTCCATATTTTTTGCTATTTAACTTTTAACAATGCTTTTAACAAATGCTGCTTTGCTGCCGGTCAATCCTAAGACAAAAGAATTTTTTTTAAAATGTTTGTCATCATACAATCAAGTACAACACCTGATTGGTATTATTATAGCAGGAGCCCATAGAACAACAAATAATAATTATCGTAATATTCAATATTTAAACATCGATTATAGCTATACGTATAGAGAATAAATAAGTTAAATTTGTTGTTTCCTTCTTTTTCAAATATAAATATTTTTTATACGTCATTATTGTAGTTAAAATATATAATGACAATCTTAGTATATGTACCTATATCTAACTGTATTTTTATTTATATAAATTGCGGCTATAAATTTATTATTGTAATTCGAACACTTTTAAATTTGGCGGCATTTGTTTAATATGAACAAAAAAATAAATAAGATTATAATACATGCAAATTTATTGCTATTATTATTAATTTTATTAATATTATCTTGTAAATATGATTTATCATCGCCGAATAACTTTATAGTTGAAATTATAGTTGTGTTATAGGAATTTCGTATATGTGTTTTAAGTAATTTTTTTGTGTTGACAACATGATAATTTCAATTTGAATTACTTTATTTCAACTATATTAATTGGAGATACATGTAGGCTCCTGTAAAATATTTTAACAGATTATATAAAAGAAAATTTCTCTCACATGCCTTAAATATATTTTAAATTTTTGTAAATTATAATTGTAAAGAAAATACTATTTTCTTAAGATAGACAGGAATAAAATTAACAAAAATATTTTCTCATATTATGTTCCTATGTAAGGTGCATATCTGTTATATTTTATTTTTATATTATAGAATTTATAATGTTCAAGTAGTATATGTGTAAATATTTTATGTATATATATGTTGTTGCACTAATATGAAATATATTTATTTTTATATTTTTTTTTCTTTTTGTATTTACAATATTATGTAGTTTACATTTTGCACATATTGAAGAAAAATACTTAATATATAAAATATTATTGAAAATTTAACTGCTACCCTGATGCAATCTTGTAAATATATAAAATGTGTTGCTATTGTAAATATATACATATTTTAACTAATACAAAAATGATAATCATATGAGAATTTTGTAAAAAATAAACAAAAATAGAAATTGCATCACACATGTAGTTACGTTTTGTACATAAATTCATATTTATTGAAGAACACACACATTACGTTATGTGTGTACCTGTATTCCGTCATAATAATTATATTTTTGTATAATATTTACTAAACTACTTGTACATATTACACATGTTTAAATGTAAAATGCTATTAATTTTATAATGGAATGCAACATGTTGCTTGTTGATGTAAAAAATGATTTAATAGTGATGTAAAAAATGCATGTGTTCCTTTATGTATATAGAGATTTGATATACATTTATAGAATTTGCATTACTATACCTAAGTATAATTACTTATTTATTGAATGAAATATTTTGTGGGTATGTATACTTGGAAAAATTTACAAATAAATTGTAATTTTGAAATAATTTTTAAGAATTTTTTGTTTGAATGGCCAATTTTTTTATTGAAATTTATTAAAATAAAAATGAGAATATTAGTGTAAAAATAATTTTTATAATTTCGCCGAATTATATGCAAAAAAAAATTTTTCTTTCCCGATGAAGATATGCAATTTTTTTTATGTGAAATTGACATTGCTTTACAGTGTACTATCGGGAGTACTTAACAGGGTACTTTTGGAAATAGAATTGATTACTATATATAGCTAATTATGTATTTTACAAGCACCATTTTTATTTTTTATTACGATAGAAATAGATAATTACAAAAAATTGTATAATGTACAATAATAAAAAAATTATACCTGATTATTTTAGTTCGTTAAAATTAAAAAATAAAATAATTTATAACAAATTTTAGTAAAAAATTAATAATGTTTATAGTAGATAGTTAAATATAATTACTAATTATGAATGAAATTTTAATTTTGTATTTAACTATGTTAGAATTGCTTTTAATTAGTACAAGGTTTTTCAGTACAGAACAAACAAATTTTTTGTTAAAATATATTAATTAACCTCATGTAAATACAAACATATAGTTAATAAGTTATATTAGAAAAAGTATTGAAAAAATAAAATTTTATCACGTAATTTAAAACGTAACGAATTCAATATTTTAATATTTGCACTTCTTTAATCTATTTCCTGTACTTAAGTTTGTATTCAAGAATCATTTTTAATTTTGTTTTTGGATTTTGGAAACTATAATTGTATTTTTGAAAACAAAGTGCACAAAATTCAATTCTCTATATTGATTACGCAAATTAATCAGAATATTTTATAATGTACAACGACACTCATTAAAAAGAATAAAGTATTTTATTTCGAAAAACTGAAATGTTTTTTAACAAGTATTAAGAATCTCAATATTAAATATTATCCTGTGATTAAGACTATTAAAAATATGTACATATACAATTTTAGTTTCCGAATAGTTTAGGAAAAATTAGAAACAATTTAATTTTTTCGAAGAATCACTGAAATTTTACTATACCATATAGACACTGGTCTATTACTGGCTACACTGCTGTGACAATGATATAGATGAGTGTTTTAGAAAATGAGTTGAAAATTTTATTTTTTGAGTGAATCATTTGTGTTTTTTTGCAATTACAATAGCAATTGAGAATAGCAATTTCAAAAATTCATTTAAAGGTTACATTTTTTTTTCTTTTTAATACTCCATTTTTTAATTCCAATTATATTAATATGAAATAATTGAATATGAAAAACAAAAAAAAAAATATACTGTCTAAAGCTTTTTTATTGCTCGTATTTAATATTTGTAATTGATATATGTAATTTGTTGCAACTTTAAATGCTAGAGTTTGAATTTTAAATACTATTTAATAAAAAGCTTATCTGGTTCATTACTAACTATTCTTATGTTCATATATAAATTGTTATATTTCCAAATTAAATTAATTTAAAAATTAAAATGTTAACTTACAATAATTTTTAAATTATACTCACATTTGATTGCGTGTCGTCATTATAGGTTAAAACCATTGAAATCGGTATACCTAAACTTAAAATAATCAATGCTACGGTCACCATGATAATTAAAATTCGACTAGTTAAAGTTATCATTTTTGCTTTTGTTTATAAGTAAATAATATGTATGTAAGTAAGCTTTATACCATATAAGAGAATTGTCAATATTTCTCTTTATTTCAAATATTGTTATATTAGTAATTAAATATTTGTGTATGTATTTAAATAAATAGTTAATTAGTAGTTGTGTACTTTAGATTTCAGTAAGAAGATGAAATTGCAATGCAAAACATGAAATGCTTAATTACCGAAGTGTTTAATTATAGTAGATTTTTTCTCTGTAATTTTAAATTAAATATACATAATTAGAAATAATATATTATTAGTTAAAAATTTTGAATGATATTAAAAGTTTAATTAAATCAAACATTTATTTATTATAAATAAGCAATTTTTTTGTTAGCCCGAAGCGTAAAAAACTGAATTTTAAAACTTATTATAATAATTTAGAATTGTATAAATAATTTAAAGTAGATTCATCAAAATTACAATGATAATTTTAATAGTTTTATGATGATATTCCTTGAAAAAATTAAATTCTTAAGTGTAAGAGAAAACTGCAATTTGTTATTAAACGATATTGCTCTAAGTTTGATTACGGTAGTCTTCTTCTGCCATTTTAATAAATTGATATATTTATAAACTGCTTTATGACAAGGTATGAAAATTTTTGTAAAAACATTAACAAAGTGTAAATTTTAACGTCCCGAAACTTAAATTTTCAAAAAACGGCCCAATGTTCACGATATTATATAGTTGTATTTATGAATTTTCTATTTGATCAGACAGAATAATTAAATTAACAATAATTTATTTTAAATTATAATTTTTGTTTACTATGAATTTGAAGAACTCAAATTTTATAAATTTTAACATTTCTAAATTTGGTTAATTATTCAATTTTAAAAATTTTTTCGAACAAAATTTAACAACAGTGTTTGATTTAGTTTAAATGAAAGTATATAATGAAAGTAAACAGTGTTTGATTAAGTTTAAATGAAAAATAAGAACCGACTGATTAATTATGGTAATAGAAGAGAACAATATAATTTCATAAAAATATCTTGAAATAATTTCTTGATAAAATATATCTATAATAAACAAAGCAAATTTATCTTTTTTAAATATTGAAAATTTCTATTATAAATTATATCTAATGAGTATATGAAAAAAGTCAAAAGGTACCTCGTTAAGCGCTGCTTTAAAAAGAATTTATTCATTATTGTTTTTTTTAATATATGTGTATTCGTAGGGTATTACAAACTAACCAATCCATTAATAAGAAATTCAGAAATAATATTCTACTCGTATGATATAGCTTTTATAAATTCTTGCACAACATATTTGTTAACTCTTTCAGCTCCTATATAAAAACTAAATCAGATAAGTAAACTAATTATTTAGTTATTGCTTGTATTTCATTAGGGGTTTTTTTTTTAAAGAAAATATGGGTAAAAGTATCCTATTCACATTTATTTTTTTAGTCTCTCATCAATAATAAATTTTTGATGAATTGTAAATAGGTTATTTAAGGAATAAAAATTTAAAAAAAAAAAGTAGAGGGCCAGGTACTCAGAAGCAATAATAGAAAGTTAGGATAAGACCATTAAAAGCGTTGAAAAAAAAGATTTTCTTTAATAACTAACCATTAAATAGTTTTTTTTTTTAAATAATTGGTTATCTGTTTTAATTTTGTATATGACTTAAAAATTAACCCTGAAACCGTATTACTTTAAAACCGAAATTTTTAGTAATGACAGTTAAGTAATCACGTTATTTTTAATATTAACAACATCAATTTTTATAATTTAATTCTATAATAAATATTTTGTATGGTTAAAGTTTATTATTGACACAAACCATTCTCATAAATACGATAAAATTTCAGTTGTTTACCACTACCGCATAGATTATTTTAAAATTATTGTTCGCATTGTATTTCGTTGTTTGTTTTTGAAAATAAATTTCTGCTTGCAAAGTTCCAAACCTGTAAAAATAACATCCCGTTAAAATTCACTAACATCACGTAAGAAAAGCGAAATTTTAAATTTATGTAAAAAATTTATTATAAGCATATTATACCTAAATAACACATTGTGTTTAACATGTCATGCAGAGTTAGAAATTATGTTGTTTCACTCTTTTCATTTATATTGTTGTGTAAGAAATAGATAGTAACGAAGAAAGTTATGAATTTTTATTTGTAAACATATTTTTTCTTGCGATTTTTCATAATGTTAAAAAAAATTTCTGTAAAGGTCTTGTATCCTGAGAAAACCAGTTATATTTTTATTTATTATATAAATTACTGATTTGTTAATTATATAATAAAGATATTTAGTTTTTTTTTAAAAGTTCTGTGAATTATCAACAATATTGTGTAAGTGTTATGAGCAGCACAGTTAAGTCATATTGTTTTGTTTTTATAGCGAATTTTCAACAATATATGGCACTACCATTGCGTTATATTGTCTTAGTATATTGCGTTTGTAATAATTATATAACTAGTATTGAACTGGATTTTTTGCCGGAAGAAATTTTAAAAAATTTCTAAAATTTTAATATTTTATTTTTTCATTAATCCTATTTTTGTCCAAATTTGATTAATTAATAATTAATTATAATTTTGTCCTAATTTAAATTATAAATTAAAAGAGTGAAAATGTATGTTCTCCAATTATGGTTTCCTAATATTGCTTTAATTGACAATATAATCAAATCGTAATATTTATAATTTTCTAAAAAATATAGTAGCACTTTTGAGTTTATTTTAGTGCTAACACTAATTATGAAATACTGTAATTTACTTATGTTTATCAATGTTATGTTACATGTTATCAAAAAATGCTATACACATCCACACATAATATACAAGCATTTTGTGAAATTATAATAGAAAAATAAAATATGAGATTTTCTGTTATTTAACTGTATTATGTTAAAATTGCTTTGATTTTTTAAATTTCAATATTCAGCACTTTAACAGTTTAGCGCTGTTATTTTCGTTATTAATTTTCTTATGCATATAAAAAAGAAGTATTTATTAGATTTTTTTTTTTTTTTTGCTTTTAAATACTACTACTACAGTGGAATGAAAAGAGGAAAATTTAAGATACTCTCGCTTATTTTTTTTTTGTTAAATTGAGTTTAGTATTCAAATGTTACTCATCGGGTCATGTCACGTTTTATGAATCGGTTAAACAATTAGTGATTCTTTTTTTAATATTTTTTTTTCTAAAGAAAAATAAGTTGATTTTTATTAAATTTGTTTTAATTACAACAATATATAAAAAAATCCGATAAAATCAAAGGTACAAATAGTAAAATAAAAAAAAATTACGATAAATGAAAATTTAAACGCGAAATTTTAATTAAAAATAATATAGAGAATTATGTATGAAAAAGTGCTGTTATTTACACCGATCTTTTTAAGTGCATTATTTCAAGTTCTCCAATAAAAATTGATTATATTGCTTTAAAAGGTTTCTTTTTTTATTTAATTTTATAATTATCTTATAGAGTTTCAATATAATATTTATAAAAAGAAGAAAGTGAAAAAAAAAAATTATAAAGTTCAGATAGAATTTCATCAAATTTTAATTAAAATTAGAGAAAACGAAAAAAGAAAATTATTTAAATAGATAAAATTTATTTTTTGATTAAATTACGTCTATTTTATTTTATTTTTAAAACAATAAATTAAATTTATTTATTAATAAATTTTAATTTTATCACCATCGGCCATACAAGAAAAATAAAAAAAAAAAATCTGAATTTATTTTTAAATTATAAAGTCAAGGATTACCTTCATCATTCAAATAAATAAAATAAAAAAAAATTTGACACAATGATACACGTGGGAGATAATACATGGAATTTAAGGATCTATATAACAGATCTTGAAGTTGAAAAAACCCTTAGAGTTAAGGGTGATCTTCATATCGGTGGTGTTATGCTAAAACTAGTTGATCCAGGTAAATATTTATTTTCTGTACTTAATATTTTATATACATATATACATACTTTTACTTTCTTTTTAAAATTAAATTTAAAGTGACTCATTTTACAACAATATACAAGTGTTATATATCAATGAGTTAGTATGAGTCATTAAAATATGTACACAATATGTATATATTTATATATTGACTATGTAACTGTTGTTATATTATTAGATTTTGTATATTTTCGTATTACAATATTTAAATATATATTTTACCTGTTACGTACTCGTACTTAAATATAAATAGATTGTTTTATTAAAATTTTCGTTAATGTTTTTACTTGTCTATCATTTTTGGTCTTTTTTACTAATTACTAAAATTTATAAATTTCTGTTATACAAAATAAACAAATAAATCATATTTTATTATTCGAAAGCAAATTTTTATTTTTATATCCTAATTAAAATTTTTTGATTACAGTAAAATCCACTTATGCAGATTACGCCCCATATAATTAACAGAACTAATTCTCGTCGTGTAATAGTTTTGTTTTCAGATATTTTATGTTACAACGGTTTTACTTATATTACCTAATTAGAATTATTTCTAAATATGGTTTAAATATCAATTTAAAAATTTGAACAGCATGAGTGTGCGAAAATTAAATTATATAAATTTGAATATGAAGGCTCTCTGAATGTTGTCATCCATAAAACGTAAATTCTTCAATTGGCATAGAGAAATATTCGTTTGCTTAATTTCCGCCTTAAGTTTCATTCTTGTATTGCATGATTTTTAAAAAATTTGAAAATATTTTAAAGTAACAAATTAATAGTCATTCAATAGATGATCGCCTCTGAATTGATTTCACTGTATATGCAAACACATGTGTTGAATATATATGTATTAATAATACGTGTACACAATATTATTCTTTTGAATATCTCTGGCTGACAAACCACCCACATACATTTTTTTTTCAAGAAAAAAGAGAAAAATTATACATATGTTCTTGTATATTTAAGTGTACAATTTAATTTACGTGTACAAATATAACTATACGTATAACATAAAACTAAATTAATAATAAGTTAGTATCAAAGAGAAAACTATTTGGTTTTATTTATTTTTTTTTAAATTTTGGCTGAAAATTTTATCAAAATTAATTTAAGGCAAAAATAATTGTTGTCTGTCGAATCAGGTGTAAATTAATAACGCAAAATTCGTTTTAGCGTGTAGTAATTTTACTCCTACCAAGTTTTTTTTTGTTAATCTTATTTAGACTCAAA